AAACATTTCTTGCATGTAGAACAATTTGAAAGTATCCGATTTTCAAAAAACAGTGACTTGGCACCTTTTTTTTTCACAGATATCATATATCATATATATATACAATTTATATGAAATCATATATGTTCAACATACAATCAGTATAAGGTCATTTCAGTACGGAACGTTCGTGGTTTCTGATTTGCCTGTCACGTCATTTGACGTATTCGAGATTGCTGCACCACGAATCATTCAAATATTGGTTTTAGAATCACGCCAGGGTTCTTGCATCATTTGTTCTTTTACGTACAGTCGTTTTGTTTTTCCTTATTTATCACTGAGTAATTTCTATTCCACTGTAATGAAGAAAGTAAGCCTTGATACTGCACGTTGGTTTATAATAAAAATGAAGGAATGATAGGAAGTGTAATTTGCCGTGATTGGACTGCTAATTAAGAAGGGTGCAATCAAACTATTATATTTTTGATTTAATTGTTTCAAAGAAGTAAGAAACCTAATACTGCATCAATAGAATGTGATTAGACAAAATCAGATCTTTCTAAAGTTAGTAGTCATATTAAATTTAAAAAAGCTTAAGATTTTAAAAAACTAAAAACCATCAATCAGTTAAGTTTTTAATGCTGAGTCGATTAATACTATTTACTTTTATGATGTTTTTCTTCTTAATATATGGAGTAACTGGGGCTAAAGTAAAAATAATAATAAAGGAAAAGAATTATTTGCAAGATAACTTCAATCAACTTTACTTAAAAAACAGAGTCGATTGAAGTTAACTTGCAAATAGTACTAGTCACATACTACTATAAGCGCACCTTGTCAATGTCCTGGGTGGATTACCGACAGGGATTTGATGCAAAATCTCACGAACTTCTTTTCTACTTGCTCGACAGCTTTTTAGTACCCCTACAAATAATGCAATGCATCGAACATCTGATGCCACTTTGGAGGACACAGTGCACGGTAAAATCTCGTGAAACGAGAGTGTCCACTAGAGCAGTGCTGTTCAGGTGAGGCACATGCAAGTAGATACCCTGAATCCTTTCTTTTTTTTGCATCTAACTGCTACCATTATCTGTCACTCTACGCTAAACACCTAGATATAAAGCAGGACGAGTCTCCTGCGAAAGAAAAGAGTAAGCAGAAACGCTCCAGAGAGCTCATGGAGGTCGTAAGAAATGTCTATCATGAATACGCAGCGCATGTGACAGAAATGCGAACAATAAAAGTCTGCCGTAGTTAGGCTGAGATTCTCGCAGCTCGTATGCAGAAAACGGTCATTCTTGAAATTCTGCCAATCCTGAGACGACTGCAATAAAGACTGAATAACTGCAGCCCTGAATCACTTTCCAACAATTCTAAATAATTCTTTATCAATTATTGATCTTAATATTCCTACTAATTCAAATTCGAATTTAATGTAATCGGTCTTACCGTCTTCCGTCGGGAATTTGTTATCTCTCGCGAAACCGGCAAAATATGATGATTCTCAGATGTGGGAATCATACTCATGTCAATTTCAGACCATCGCTTGATTATGTAACCACTGGTTATGTGGCCACTGGTTCGTTTATTTTAGTTTATGACTGAAACTAGCTGACTTTAGACGTCTTTTCGTTGATTCTATATTTGAATTGGTGATTTTAATAAACTTTCTTTTTAATATTTGTTGTTCTTATTTTATATTTTACAGTAATTAAAAGAAAATTAAGAATGAATAGCAGTATCGATTCAAGGATTGAGGAAATTACTTTTTCGGTATTCTATTGTTTTCGGAAAACCCATGGGGCAAACGAGCAATAAGCCTTAAGAAGAAAGGTGTGCATACCGTGAGCAGAGCATCAGATTTTTTGAAAAAGGAAAGGACCATACAAAAGGACTTGTGTGTGTGTCTCAAGCAAGAGAAATCTAATTGTGTCACATTCGACTTACTAAATATGTAAGGTTTGATGTATCAGTCAGCTGTCGAAAAAGTAAGATCAAGATCAGATCGTCATGGAACAACTCTTTAAATCGTAAGTTGTATTTGTCTTCAACATCCTATTAATAATATTACAAAGTTTGTGAATTTTTTTGTAGAGTTCATTTGATCGTCAAAGCATTTTTAATTAATATTTAGATCAATTTGGGAGTAAAAGTGAATAATGTGCTTACTGGAGCATCGAGTAGGCACGAATAATTTATAATTATTTTCGAGTTGAGTTAAAGAAATCATCTCTTTGTAACAACACATTAACGTTTCGATTGTTATTATAATTTTTCAACAATTTTTATTTAATAATTTTTATTGGTTTTATACAAATCACACATTTTTACTTTCTCTATTCGAGATGCTTTCATTGCTGTCTAGCAGTCGAAATGCTAGGACTAAAAAAAGAAACTTCAATTTTCTAAGGCTAAGCATATGATTCTTATATTGACACTTTTAAAGAACAAAATTACATATTGATAAAAAAATTATCAACATTTAAAAACTGACTGCAGAATGTAAAACTCAATTACCACTATAAATGTACTTCTTAAATAAATCAAAAGCTTTTTACACATTACTCATGCAGATTTCGAGATCTCTCAATAAGTGGATGTTTTGGAAATTTTTCATGATTCAGATTATAGTAAAAAGAAAATAAATAAATGTACATTATTTTAGAAGCATATTTTTTATCTAATGATTAAATAAAACTTAATAAGCTTCGATTATACACTTATTAATTTCTATAGAACATTCACCATAGTGCAAGCAGTAACAACGAGGGTATCTAACAAATAAATTATTTAAGCATCGATGCAAGAGTGAGGTACTATTTTAGAGAAATTTTTTATCTGCTGATAAAATGATGCTGATAAAACACTGCTGATAGTGTTTGAGAAAGATTCAACTGGATTTGTACCGATCAGAATATTGATACTTCCGAAGGAGAACTGCTCAGAAAAGATATCGATATTCTCGATAGAGAGTGCTGATGTGATCCATAAACGATTGGAAAGCACTTATTTCCTGCATCTTTCGCACTCTTCCTTTTTATGGTTGTTTGCACTGCTCGATTTTTCTATGAAGTATTGATATTTACTTGAACTCCTTTATTTCTCTTTTCGTTTAGATAATTATCTGATTCTGCAAAAGTAATGTTCTCTGGTAGTGGATCCTCTGTGTCATCCAACTTCATTGTATTACACTCAATCGTTCCAAGAGATTGAAAAGGAGACTTTAAGCTGATGGTACTTTCTTGCGTAGAGATTTCCATAAAATTCAATTTAACGTCTTCTTCTATATGTTTCTAATTCATCTTTTCGATACCTTTTGACAGTCAAGTTTTTAAGAATATATATGTTGGCTTTTAACTTCAATGTTCTTCTATCTAGTTGATTTCTGTCTAAATTTTCTGTATCATTTCCAACCTGTAAATAAATTCGTATTTTACAATACTCTAATACATATAAACTAAATAATAAATATTTATATAAAAAATACATACTTTTTCCATTGGATAAGTAATTCTGAACATACTTACTGCTCGAAGGGTATATCAATCAGAAATAGGCTGCTATTAGTGATAATTACCTACATCAAAATAATTTTCACTCATATTCAGTTCTTTTAGGGCTAAGTAAATCGCACATCATGAGTTTCTATCACTTTTTCTTCGTTGTTATATTATTTAGTACACGAAAAAAAATTATTGGAATTTTCAACTGCTGTGCTTTGACACATAGGAACAATACAATATTTGTACGAATCGTTCAAACTTCTGAAATCGGGTAATTAACAAAATACGAATAGAACGGTGCAAGCAACTACGGCTCCTCATTTAGGTCAAATGACGTCACACGATAAAACGCTGCGTGTGATAAAAATCTTTTAGTAGGAGCAACTTCAATGTTCCAATGTATTAGTGGTAGTTGAACCTATGACACTTACTATTAGCTAGTCAAAGTTCGCTTCATACAATAAATAACTATTGCAACAGCGTTCATTGCTTGTTGTGCAATGAGATCTTATTTTTATTCTAGTCTTCGACAATAAATCAAGAAAATGTTCTAAATTTCTGTTTCTACTTCCATGAAAGTTTTCTATCACCTAACATAAACTACCGAAATATTCAAGTATTTTTTCGCGTAAATATGACTACGCTTGCGAATAATAGATAAAAAATTGCCGTCAATCAAGCGTAATTTTGATATCTCATTCGTATGAGGTAGCTACGGCTAAACGAGATATATAAATATTTGTTCCATTTCATATGGGGAGGATTAGAGTCTCTTTCTGAATTCTGAATTTCTATCCAAGAATGCCCTACTGAAAAAAAATCACATACTTGATACAGCCAAGTTTGAAAATAAGTAATATAGAATACATGAACCACAAATTTAATTGGACGATTGAGATAGTATATTACACCACATCAGCATAAATTTGGAATCTTTAAACTGCAAGTCACGCTGCCCGAGACTTCGCCTATGTGATGTTTACTATTTTTCTGAATAGCCGGTCAAAATTACGGAAGAAATTGTTGATGTGCATCGAAGGATATAGATGTCTGCTTCGACATTTGCGGCACGAGCAAAGTGCGTACGAGTACACCCGTTTATAAGAAATAATTTGAATTTTATCTTTTTTTTTTTTATGTATTTCTAGCTAGTTTGAGCATTTACAGTTGAGTTGACTGGTTGACTTCAATGACTGATTATTGTTCTGAGTTTTAGTTTTTTTTATTATATTATTTTCAAATTTTGAAGATAACCGAGCGGAAGTTTTACGAGTTGGTGACTGGTAAAGGTCGATTACTGACGCGATCGGTAGTCAAATAGAAGTCTTGTATATTAAAAAATACCGCTTTACCACTTTCTTTATTCACTTTCTTTTTAAATGAAGATGCATTAATTAATAAGCAAGGCATAAGACTTCTGTTTTAGTGAACATGAACACAAAAACAGTAGATTTGCAGCCGTTATTTTTTTTAGAAAAAGATTTTTTAAAAGTTGTTTCTCCATTTGATATTTACCTGTGGATATTGGCTATCTTTTGCTTGATAATTGAAATGAAAAAAATAGGTTTGAGCACCACGTCGAGAATGATAAAATGCAACTCTCATCAGCGGCGCAACAGTGTGCCCATCGCTTAAAGCTTCCATCGTAGATTCCATTAAATTTACAGGATGCAGTACAGGTTTTTCCCAATCAGTGTATTCATTTTTAACTGCTGATAGTATTTCATTTAAATGATAGTAATATGAATTTCTGATGAACGTGCGTAGAATACGATTACGTTGGTTTTCTTCAAATCCAAATTGTATTTCATAATCATTGAAATCAAGATATGACTCAGCTGTGGTCACTCCTATGATAAGTGGAATCTTGATGAATGTATCACTTGCTCTTTCCATGTCTAAGGCTGGATCAGGAATATTCTTGTCAATTGGTAGAACTGGACCAATCCTTGGAATAAATCTATGGTAAAAGAACAATTAATAAACAGAAAGATTACTATGATGAACATATTGATTACCGATATTTTAATATTAAAATCTGTAAGATTTGTTGTAATTTTATATGCAAGAAAACATACGGAAGGTTGAAAAATTTGTACTATAACACTGGATATTGATGTGAAATTTTTCTCGAAAGTAAAAAGTAAATTATGCATTGCATTGTAAGATTTGATATGCATTAAGACATTTATATTCACTAATGATCTTAAATCGATATTTCAAATTACTTTCTAGTAAAGTATTGTGTTATTAGTGTACGACATAATAATTATTCTCTAAAGTAATTTGATCAAATTAGCTAATGATTACTAATAATATAAGGAAAAATTGATTGAATGCTGATAAGTAAGTAAACAGGTGACCTTGGTTTACGTTTTATTTATTAATAAACTGCCAAAACTTTATTCATCACTAAGGATGATTACAAAAGAAAATATATTTATTTGGAAAAAGAAAAGAAAAGAAAAAAAAACTTTATTGAACTTGAGACATATCAATCTCATGATAGCGAGAACGCACTAAAGTATATATTTTTATGTTAGATAGTATAGAAGAGCAGGCGGATTGCCCGCGAAAACCAAACTTGGAGTTAACACTCCCTCCTCAATACGAATGCTCTTCTGGTTCTTGTCATCCCAAGATCGTTGACACACCTTTCATGACAAACCCTTGATAAAGGCTTGGTAAGGATATCTGCAACCATCTGTTGGGTAGGAATATGTTCCACGTTTACAAGTTGTTTCACAACAATATCTCTAATAAAGTGGTATTTGATGTCGATATGCTTCGACCTGCTGTGAAACACTGGATTCGTTGCAATGGCCTCAGCACCACGGTTATCAGTAAATATAGTGATGGTAGGTAGTTAAGTCAGTCCAATTTCTAATAGTAAACTTCTGAGGTGCAAAGCTTCTTTAATAGACTCAGCCAGGCTAATATATTCAGCCTCGGTTGATGACAGTGAAACAGTAGGTTGTTTTTGAGACTTCCAGGTCACTGGGCTTCCAGCAAGTAGAAAAACGTAGCCCGTGAATGAGCGTCGATCAGTGACGTCTCCGCCCCAGTCAGCATCTGAGTAACCAATGATCTGCTTTTCAGAACAACAATACCTTAGACCGAGGTCACGAGTACCTGCAAGGTAACGCAGTACTCTCTTCGCTTTTGTCCAATGTTCTTTAGTTGGTGAATTAGTAAACTGGGCAAGTCTCGAGACTGTGTTTGAGATATCGGGTCTCGTTCCAACCGACAAGTACATGAGTGCTCCTACAAGCTCCCTGTATGGTATGTTTTGATCACACTTTGGTGGTGATGTACTGGGTGTGAGCTTAGAGTTGAGCTCGGCTGGTGTAGAAATTGGGTCACACTCCTCCATATGGAAACGTTTTAATATGTCTTCAATGTATTTCTTTTGAGTCAATGAAATTTCATTATTATTCTGTCTTATTTCTAAGCCAAGACAGTTCTGGGCAAGACCTAGATCCTTCACATCAAAATCTCGTGCTATACCCAGTTTTATCTCTTTTATCCACTCCTCGTCTTGTGAAGCTACCAACAAATCGTCTACGTATAAAAGTACTAGTAGAATGTTTTTGTTGCGGTGGGCGACAAATAAGCAAGGCTCGCCGACCGTTGGAGACAGTCCCAGATCCTTTAATTTCCGGTCAATGGTTTCATACCACTGTCTCCCTCCTTGACGAAGACCATATAGAGCCTTATTTAGCCGACAAACGTTACCTCCATTTTTCATTTCATCAAGTAACTTCTTGGCTTTCATCTTGACTTCAAAATCAGTATTAACATCATTGACGATCCTGTTTAACATTGTGGGCATCATCTTGGGTATTTCCATGAACACTTCTTCATTCAATTTACCATTTAGATAAGCGGTTACTATGTCTAATTGATGAATCTTCAAATTATATAACGCTGATAAAGCGATGATTAATCTTATGGAGTCCAGCCTCGCCACTGGTGCAAAAGTTTTATGGTAATCAAGACCATAACGTTGACTATAGCCTTTTGCAACTATTCTTGCCTTGAATTTCTTGATAGATCCATCATCATCATACTTCTTCGTTAACACCAACCTACAGCCCACAATATTTTGACCGTCTTGATAAGTCGTGATATTCAATGTGTCATTTTTGACTATACTTGTAACCTCTGACAAAATTGCCTGTTCCCATACAGCCTTTTCATCATTATTATTCAAAGCTTCGTCGAGAGGTACCTCTGCAGATCCAGCGAATACATCATCTTCAATGTTGTCCTCGTTCTCCATCTCTGGATCATGTTGTCCTTCAGACTCTGGTCTATACGAATGAAAAAGTCTTCTTGGTCGACCTCGATTTCCTGTTCTTAATATTCTAGGTCTACCGCGAGCTCGTCTCGCTGGTGGTTCAGATATGGGTAAGTTACTGTCTTGAGCCCTTGGAGGAGTAGGATCAGTGTGACCATCACTGTCTGATCTCGCACTGGGAGTGCTGGAAGTCCGAATATTAGCAGGGACCTCAGTTTCTAACTCATTAAATCGTTTCTCAGTTCCTTCGAAGCCATCTGGTAGTAGCTTCAGGCCATCTGTTTCGTCAATCTCAATAGATCTTGAGTTATTCTCCTCCACAAATTTTATATCTCGTTCAATGATTATTTTCCTGGATTCTGGTAACCATACTCTGTATCCTTTTGACTCACGGGGGTAACCTACGAAAATACCCTTGATAGACCTTGGTGAAAATTTATCCTTGACAGGATTTTTATCAGTAACATAAACAGTCGAACCGAAGGTTCTCATATGACCAATTTGTGGAGGCTGTTTATACCATTTTTCATATGGAGTCATACCGTTGAGAGTAGCAGTAGGTGATCTATTTCTGATATAACATGCCGTGGCTACGGCCTCCGCCCAAAACATCATAGGTAATCTAGATTGGAGTAAGAGACATCGAGCCATGTCTAACAACGTTCGGTTCTGTCTCTCCGCCAGCCCATTTTGTTGCGGTGTACGGGGCACGCTGATCCGCTTCTCTATTCCCAACTGCTTCAACAAGGCGTCAAACTCATTTCCAAGATACTCCCTTCCATTATCTGACTGTAAAAATTTTATCCTTCTTCCAGTTAAATTCTCTTTTCTGTTTTTATACTGAGAAAAAGCTGCTAAAACTCCACTCTTCTGACTCAGGAAATATACCTCGCACCATCTCGAAGCGTCATCTATAAATGTAACAAAAAACTTAGCCCCGTTCATCAATTGAGTTCTCATTGGCCCAACAACATCAGAGTGAATAACATGTAGTAAGTCTGGTGAAGGTGAATCACCTTTTGGGAAAGGTAGTCGAGTCATCTTTCCCCTTAAACAAATATCACAGGGCTCTAAATTCTTGATTTGACTATTGATGTCGAGGTTCATGGACCTACGTAATACTTGAGCTAAATCATTATAATTTAGATGGCCAAAACGCTTGTGCCACATTCCAATAACATTAGCATCTCCTGGAGTCGAAGCATTTAGACATGAATTTTCAGGTACAACATAATACAGGTCACCATGACGATTGGCAGTATACTTAACCTTACCCTGTCGATTTGCAATAATTGCCTTGGTCTTTTCAAAAATAACGATGTCATTCTTGTCTGTAATCTTGGCCACAGACACCAAGTTGCATCTCAACTCAGGAACAAATAACGTGTTTTTAAACTCAATTATCTTTGGCTTATCATTTACAGATATTGCAACTTTAACATCTCCCGATCCAACGACATTAGTGGATGCATGACTAGCTAGTTTTAATACTCCAGGCGTGGAGTCCCTCATTTCTTTAAAACTCTTCTCTTCTCGACACAAGTGAGATGTACATCCGCTGTCTAATATCCAATTTTCTGACGACGTAGGAGGCTCTCTCTGGACAATCCTTGCTCCAGTATAAAATGATTCTGCACTGGAAGCAGCAGAGAATAAAGAATTTTCATGATCATCATCAAGATGGTATCTGTTTGACTGCCCTCTATCACTTTCCGTGGCATCCAACACCGACGTTGCAAGGTGGCAAACTTGTCCTTTCTTGTAATATTGTTTCTTGGAGGTGTTGTTGGAATGGTGTTCACGCTTATTTTTCATTGATTGTGGTGATTTTAAGGCAAATGAACTTGCTGCCTCGACCAACTCTCCCTTATTCCTAGCCTCACTTTCTTCCAAAATCTTCACTTTTAAAGATTCAGGTGACGGCAGCTCGTCTCGTGATTCTATAGCACACCTGAAATTTTCATAGCTGGCCGGTAGACTATGGAGGATCATACTAGACAACAGATCATTATTAATATCCACTTCCATAGCCATTAATCTATCTACAACTTCAGAAAATTTTATCAAATGATTTCTCACATCGCCTCCTTCAGGCAGACGTTTCAACATTAATTGTCTAAGAAGTGTAGCTTTCTTTGCTGGCCCACTCGATGCAAAAATTGATTCTAACTTGAGCCAAAGTTCTCGTGAGGTCGTACATTGTCTAATCAACTGGAGCTCTGAGGGGTGAATTGATAAAATCAAATCAGCTCTCGCCTTTTTATCCTTCTTCTTCCATGAAGCCAGATCCATCTCGAACGCAGCTTTTACTGGCATCGACTTCTCGCCACTTACGTACTCCCATAAATCGTGTTTCGTCAGCAACGCCTCAGCTTGCATTCTCCACGAACAATAATTATCTTTCACCAGATACTCAATTTTCGTTGAACTCAATTCATTTGCCATTTTCAACCTTTTCCAGCCGTACAACAAGAAAATATATATATATAATGGAGCAAGCGGCCACGTGCCACAAAAGATACCCCTTTCTATGTATAACCTCCAAATTTGAGTAGTCCTGGGCCCATAACCTGATAAGTAAGTAAACAGGTGACCTTGGTTTACGTTTTATTTATTAATAAACTGCCAAAACTTTATTCATCACTAAGGATGATTACAAA